GCCCTTCAAACAAATCACATTCTGACCTCCCAGGTATATCTGTTGAGCTTCAGAAACTAAGATTTACAAAGGAGAAGGTGCAAACATTTGCAACGCAATATATATAGTTATTTTTTTAAAGCAAATGTGGTCATGAAAATTGAATGGAATATATACATTAAAACAGAATTGTCATTTTGAGTGTGCTTCATTTATCTGTATATAATGCCTCGTGTTACAGACTGAAAACTTGCTTCTTATATGCATTCCATAAAACACCTATTTGCATTTTGCATCCAATTTGTCATAGTACAATTTTGGTTTCTTCTGTGAACAATATTTGTATAATACTTGCTGGGAGTTTTTTATATAACTTGCATAGATTTCAAAGCTTGTAAACATTTGCGATCGCGTAAATATTTTTATGGATTTAAATGCTCAGTTGCTTTGAACCAAAAGTTAGATAACAAAGAATTGTAACTCCAGTCTTTCTTGCTCATTGGAAAAATGCCTTTAGCTGTAATTTTGTTTTGTATACATACGGAGTACTGGAAAGCAATAATGAAACATTAACCTACCTTGTGGTCTTTCCACTTTGTTGCATGTATCAGTTCACAGACTGAATTCATTCCTGAACTGAGAGCTGTTGTGAGTTGCTGCTGATAATAGAAGTTCATTACAAAACGAGAAAGGGTGGAATGCCACGGTTGTCGTTTTGTTTGGAAGGATTAGCAACTTTGATTAACTCCTGCCTGGCAGATGAGGTTTTCGTAAAAAAGGAGTGACAATTTGCCCATATGGATGTGATATCCCACTGTTAAGCAACAAATACTGGATGGTCGGGTGACGTAATCCAGGAGGCATGGTTATGTGCTGTAAAGCCAAGGTTGAAAAAAAATAATTTACAGAGATAAAAATCACTTCCTTGTGCACTTAAGATTTCTTCGTGCACTGCGCTATCTTCAAAGTGCGTAAAGCTTTTAGAGCAGAAGCACTCATTATAATGAAGCAGACACGCACATTGTAGGCCACTCAGGCTGAGGTTTTCTCAGACTGCTTTGAACTACAGGTCAGCTGATATCTTACCCTGTGTTTGGAATGCCTGTGTAATTACCATGTTTATACAAGTTACAGGATGCCAAATACAGTACAGTCAATCCCCAGACTAGATTTTAAGTGAACAGTGCTCCGATAGGTCACAGCGAATTGTTTTCTGTACACCCAATGCAATTTAAAAAAGACATTTAGGTTCTAAGAGTTTCTGAGGTAATGTCAGAATGACGATAGGGTGAGGGTTAGGGATGACTTGAATTCAAAATCTACAAAAACAAATTACGTTGTCACCTAATAATTCTCACTTGCCTTTTGAAAAATAACCAACAGTGCCTCCTATAATGACAGGACAGTCTTACAGCAAGAATAGCCTGTTGATGTTTCTGATATAAAATGCGGGAGGAAATCTGGGTATCTCATTATTTATCTCATCTTCCATCCCTTCGCAGTTATTGCCTTAATAAGGTCATTCATTTCAAAAGCAGTAGATAATACTGCATATTTTCCAGAGACGGTTTATACAATGTTGCAAACAAAGCATTAATACTATTTTAACTATTTCCAAGCCATATTTCCCAGTTACAGTATAAATATTAATTGTATACTTAGAAAAAAAATCACCTTCGATAGAGGTTTATTGGGCATAAATAAGACAGTGTGCAATTAGCAATGACTATTAAACCTCGTATTATCAGAAGGAGCAATGAAACACAAATTGAGGTTAATAAATCAAAATGAGTGCTTTAGTAAAGGTTGGCTTTTCAATGGAGTTTGCATATTTGCTGTATTAACACAATTTGTAACGGACTTAGAGCACAGGGTCCTTCCTGAACCTTTGGAATGAAAATAAAAAGTAAATCTTGCAGCAAATTGTACAAATGTCAAAGCAATAAAACAACAAAAGAGAAAAATCTTGAAGTCTGTTATCATACTCAGCATTCTTATACATGATTCTTTTAAGTGCTTTCTGCAAGACGGAATTTCCACATGCATTCAGAGTTATCAGAAATAAATCACATTGAGCTGCTTGTGTGATCTGTTAAGCTTTACTCCCAACGCTCATATATAATGCACAGCAGCACAATTTTAAGTTTGAATATATCCAGTTATATGAATCAGTGGATATATAATGTGAAATAATTGCATCCCAGTTCAAAATGACCAAAAATACTTTTTCTTTAAAACATGAGCACAATTCCTTTTTAATTGTTCATATTGACTGGGTGGGGTGGGGTGAAGAGGACCATGCAATTTCCTTGTGTTGACTTAAAGACATGTTAGTTCTGCTTGCACATGTGATGGTTGTGAAATCCATTACTCTAGGCTCATGCTTTGAGCTCAGATGCTGTTTATTTTCAGGCTGGCTCATATGAATGGCAACAAAGGTGTTCTTTTTCAGTTTTCATCTGTCCTCCACTAGATCTGGAATGGAATGAGCATTTGATACTCCATTTATAACACAGCGTGTTTCAGAACTGGATTACTTCCATCACTACTCATAATGTATATTATGGAGATCTATCTGTAACATCTGTAATAGGTAGGATAATTGCTGTAACGTAGCAAAAACCGAGTCCCCATGACATGATTTAGAAACAGATTTTCAGTGTTGACTGAAGAGTAAATATTGCTCACAAAATTGGTGAGAAGGCCCCTATGCTTATATGGTTGTTACAATGGGATCTTTTACATATAACTGATGTGGCTAATCTTCAACAACACTAAGAGCAAAGGTTAGGAAACCTGCAGCAAGTAATTCCCCTTCTGACTCCCCAAAGCCTACACATCTACCAGGCTACAACTGTCCTTTCTGGTGGTTGAATATGACCTATTTTATGGATGCAGAGGACATAGCTTGTAACTGGTTAGCAGAAGCTAGTTTATTTAAGCTGCCATATGGTGTTGCATTGTACACAGTGTTCAGAGGAACTAATAAGATACAATGGCTAAATGGTAATCAGATGATTTGAGATCCTTGTTATGTGCGTATTAATGGCAACATTCCACTATAACCTGTGACATTAGTCTCATGCACAACTTAGGAGAAGACAAAAAAGAAACCTAATTTGGAAGACTCATCTTTCCATCATTTGTGACTAATAAGATGTGAACAACTTCACTGATGAAAAAATATCAAAGCAATAGATAAGAATATAAGGAATGATTGAAATCAAACATTTGAAATGATGGCAATATATTAACAAAGGTCACGTCACCAAGAAAGCACTTTGAAGAAAAAATGTTGGATAAATTAATGAATGAGGCTGGATGAAGGTTAATGAACCTCTGAGATTTCCATCTGTCTGGTCTCATGACTCTTGTAAATCCCAACTTCCTTCACCCCACTATCGATTTATTTGCCTTTGATTGTCCAGGTTCAAAGCTCCTTAATCTCACCATCTATTGCTTTCTCCTCCTTAAAACCCAGTCAATCACAAATGTCCTAACATCTCCTTTTGGCTCAGTGTAAATTCTAGTCTGATTAAGCTCCTGTGAAATGATTTATGACTTGCACTGCATTGAAGGTGATGTTTAAATGATAGTCGTATTTATTTGGTAAGACTTTTAGTATAGCACATTAGATTTTGTGACAATCTTTTATGCTTGAGGAAGCCATGTTTCTACCGTATGTTCCGCTATAGTTCCTAAAGGATGTGACCCTGCAACTCAAAATCACCCCAGATTTGCAACTGTGAGTACATCTTTGGTTGTGGTGAAATGACCCTTGTTTCCTATGTCACCAGGACCTTGCAAGTCAAATATAGCAAGCTTGGTTGCATAGCACAACCTTTTGTATTCTGCCCTGAAATTCTGCTACAATCTTGGGTTCAGAACAGTACCCCTTCCTGTTACAACTTGGACGTTATCAGCCATTTGTTAACCTTTAATGAATTGCAAGCAGCTTTTTGCTGTGATTTCCAGCCACTAGAAGTTTGTTGAGGTCTCGATGAAAGTGAACTTCCTTAGAAAAGTTCAATATATGAATCCAGCCAAAGTTGTTGAAGTAGCTGAAGATAGTAGGGTCCAGGTCCCTGTCCTGGGAGGCCCTTCAGTCATTTTCTAGAGCTGAGTTGATTGTTTTCCAACAACCACAGCCATCTTCTTCTATGCTTGGTATTGATTCAATCAATGGAGCATTTTCTTTCCCTTTACTAGATGATTACTACTTGATGCTCGGCCAAACACTGCCTTGATGTCAAGCCCAGTAACTCAACTCACTGTTGGAGTTCAGTTCTTTTATCCATTTTTAGGCAAATACTGGTATGGAGCCTAGTCATCCTGGTAGAATCCAAACTAGGCACCAAATAGCTGGCTATTAGTGACCAAGTTCTATTTGCACTGTCAATGGCTCCATTCACTTTGCTGATGATATGGTGATCATTGGATTTGTCTTGCTTTTTTTGGGAAAGTACTTACTTGGGTAAGTGTCCAGATTTTTGAGTATGTGTCGGTGTTGTAGCTGCACTGGAAATGTTTGGCTTGAACCTTGCCCATTGCTACCAGGCTGTTGTATAGCCTTTAATCTTTGTTGTATTTAATGCACTCAGAGGCTGCGTAATATCACAGGGAATGATTTGAGTTGGCTGAGGTCTGCCATCTGTGATTGCAGAGACCTCAAGTTTAATCGCGTGCTACTTCTGGCTGAAAATAATTCTCAGTGTTTCAGCCTGGCCCATTATATTTGCATATTCAGGCATATTGCTGATTGATGAGGCTTTTATTTTGAGATTTGTGTGTTGCCTTGATATCAAGTGTCTTAACATACGTTCCATTGTCATTTACTCTTTCACTCTGCTCCAAATACCCAGCAGCTTCATTACAGAGATGTGGAGGGCAAATGTGCTGGTTAACATTTCTAATCTACTCTTGTGGACTTTTGTTTCCATTGCAGTTAACAAGACACAAAATCTGAAGAAATGTATGGCCAAAAGGTTGTTAGAATTTAATCTCTTGTGCTTTGCTTCTAGTGTTCTGTAAGCTGTGGAAAGGGCACCAAGCAGCGGGATGTCTACTGCACTGACATGAAGCAGGTAGCTGTGGATAACAAGTACTGTGAGCACTTGAAGAAGCCTCGAGTATATAAAGTGTGTCGGGCAGGCCGATGTCCAGCCTGGAAGGCCACTCGATGGAAGGAGGTACGATCCAATGCAATTCAAAACCTTTTTTTCTTTTAAAAACATTCCTGTCTTATGAAATTATTAGTCATTTCTCTGAACTTTGGGCACAGGCCTAACAAAGACACAGTCTTAAACGGCTTGCCTTTCATTCTAACACTGTGTCCCCTGGTTCTACACCCCACAGCAAAGGGAAACATCCTCTCTGCATCTGCTCTGTCTATCCATTTAAGAATTTTCTAAATTTCTATGAGATGTCCGCTCATTCTTCTGAACTCCAGAGAACATGGGCCTAGTCACCTCAATCTCTTCTCATAAGACAATTCTACCATCCCAGAAATCAATCGAGTGAATATCTGCTGCAATCCTTCTATGCAAATATATCCTTCCCTAGGGAAGGGGACCAGAAGTGTACAACAACTGTACGCTCCAAATGCAGTCTGACCAGTGTTCTATATATGAAGCTCCTGTACTGAAATGCTCTTACAATAAAGGCTCATCTACTACTTACCTTCTGAATTGCTTGCTGCATCTGCTTATTAACCTTCAGTGACTCTGCACAAGGAAGCCCAGGTTGCCTTAGACACTAATACATTCTGATTTCTTGCCATTTAAAAAAAAATACTCTGCTCCTTTGTTCTTTCTAGCAAACTGAAATAACTCCACACGGTATCTCGTCGTCAAGTCACCCTTTATTTACATGTGCGTAGTACATGACACTGATCCAGCTAGCTTAGAGCCAGCTCCGAGAGTGAGCAGAACCCCTAACATTCCTGTTTACGTCTGTCACCCAGGGATCCCTTACTGGACCAAGTTAATAGCCCCAATCAGGGAGCTCATATTCTATGAGATCCACTAGCTAATCTTATTACAACCACTACACAAACCTTACTTTTATCCACATTATATTCCATCTGGCATGTTCTTGCTCCATCACGCAGACTATTTAAATCCCTTTGAAAGATATAAAATCAAAGAATCCCTACAGTGTGGAAACAGGCTATTTGGCCCAACAAGTCCACACCACCCCTCTGAAGAGCATCCCATCCAGACCCATTCCCCCACCCCTGCATTTCCCATGTCTAACCCACCTAACCTACACATCCCTGGGCACTGTGGACAATTTAGCATGGCCAATCCACCTAACCTGCACATTTTTGGACCGTGGGAGGAAAGCGGAGCACCAGGAGGGAACCCACGCAGACACAAGGAGAATGTACAAACTCCACACAGAGAGTCACCCGAGGGTGGAATTGAACCCAAGTTCATGGTGCTGTGAGGCAGCAGTGCTAACCACTGAGCCACCGTGTCACCCTTAGAATATCTTTGCATCCTCCTTATAATTCAAATTTCCACTTGCAAATGTTACAATTGACCTCCACATCCTAATCATTGATACCAATTATGAACAACTAGCGCTGTTCCTTGCAGTACCACATTGATTGTAGCCTGCCAAACTGAACATGATCCATTTACTCCAATGGTTTCTGGCCTATGCTCAATCCGTGCCAGTACATTGCCCCATCCCATGCGATTTAAGTTGTTTACTAACCTCCTAGGTTGGACTTTAAAACCCTTCTAAAAATCCAAATGCATGACATCCATCGGGTTCTCCTCAGCGGTTCCACTTCTTTCTTGAGAACCTTGTCTTCATCATATTCTCACTGATGTTCTAGCTGAGATCAGGAATTCAGTGTAAGAGGGAAAGGAAATATTTGGGGAAATCTGTCTCCCAACAACCTGTCCTTCAGGACACTTAAGCTAGTAATTGATACATTAATAATAACTTAAAATTTCACTCTAGATGCAAATCTTACAAACATTTCAGTATTTGAAGGTTTGCTACTAAAAGGCAAATATAGCTTGTGCCTGGCTTTATGTTTTTCTCTCTATTTGATTAAATTTGTACCTCTGTTAAGGCTGACCTTTGTCTTAATATAGAGTTTTAGCTGACACTACATAATACAAGTTCTCAGGGACAAGTTATTCTATGTGCTCGTATACATTGTGTTAATGAGGTGTTTCATCATTAATGTTTTCTCCCACCACCCCACACATCAGCAAAAAAGGATTCACTTTTTGATTTCTTCTATCTGCACTGTCCATTTGTGTATTGACCACAGCCTGTTCTTATTCTCATATAATTCACTGTTATAGTCACCGAAATGAATTCTGCTTTCTCAGTTTGTTCTGTTCCTTGAATTGCTACAGGTTCGGTCACAGCCGTTTTTAATTTTGGCATTGAGGTTTTCATTAATTTACAACAAATCTGCACTAGGGCTCATTGCCAGTTTAACCACTGAGGATGTAATGCTAAAATTCATTAAATCCTTATATATTACTAAGATAATCTAAACATTCACACATTTGCAATAACTAAGTCTTGAAGCCATTTGTTTGCTTGTGCTTTTATCCCACTAAACTGTTCAAAGGGATTCCATTTCTGATTTAAAATTTCACACTTTCCTCAACCTCTGGTTAACTCGCTTTTTTCTAATTTAATTAAATCTAGCCACTGCTGTTTAAAAGGTGCTACTGGTAACCTTCATGCACTTATTGTAAGCCCTCGGTTGTCAGAACAGAGAGCCATATCGTGTGTTTCATAATTGTTGAGACTTTGCAAAAGGACACACAAAATGCATGGGTAGGAGTGAAGGGCAAGGGCAGCTTTATCTTGGCTGGAGTTCATAAAATACCAGCCACCTCAGGCCGAAGCAATTGAAACTTCCCCAGAGCCTATCTTGACTAGGGAGCATGGGATAATGAATGAACTGTACCAAGGACTTATAACTGAATATGTTAGAGATGATGGAGTTAAAGTACTGGTTTGGCAGGGTTGGAAAACTGGGCTTTCAGTTTGGCATGACAAGTCATACAGCTCGGACAACAATGGAAAGTAAATTGTGTAGGCTGTATAATGGGAAGCCCCACTAAAATGGAAAGTTACCATGAAAGACTTTAGATCAGAAATCAGGTTATCTATAAGTCAACTGCAGTTTTATGTCACATGCTAATGACGGGCATTTCTCCTATTAGGACACAATTTGCTACATTTTTGTGACAAGCTTGGGAAAATGATCAAGTTTAAGTTGTAAAGAGGCAAAATTGGTTTATTTTGAAATGAAACCTTACTACAATGATAGGTTTGATGTTAGAGCATAAAATGTATACAATTTAGGCTTGGAGATAGAATGGTTTTGGAAGAAATCTGTAACACAATTCCAGCTTCCTGGGAAAAGACATAATATATACAAAGTACTATCTGATTGGGATGTAATACACACTGTACAATCTTAATTGTGTTCTGAAAAGTTTTAAAACCAAACATGTAGTCTCAATGGAGGGTTGTTGAGGAAGGGAAATCTACTAAGCTCTTGAGCCTTTAGGATCAGTGGCAGATGTTTTGGATTCTATCTTTAAATGCTGAATAATTAAGCTGATCCACTCTTTTATGAACTGCTTAATGTGGCTTAGTTTCGGAGTTGTGCAGGATTTTTGAATTTTCCTGAAAGTTTTTAGTTGGTTTCAGCCACTCATGAAACCAGAACTAGAAAAAAATAACTGTCCAAATATTACCACGGTGCAAAGATCATAGAATTATAGAATCCCAAGAGTATGGAAGCAGGACATTCAACCCATCGAGTCTACACTGACCCTCTGAAGAGCATTCCACCCAGATATAACCCCAAACCTACCCTTGTAACCCTGCTAACTCGCCTAGCCTGCACATCCCTGGACACAATGGGCAGTTTTACATTGGCCAATCTCTAATCTTCCAGGCCTTCCAGTCTTTCATCATAATCTCTCTAATTTAATTCCTTCCTATTTAAATTTCAGTGCGTCTTACGTAAAACGTAAGTGTAGTTGTCTACTGGAAAAAAGTAATTGTTATTCCATTGAACTCTTTATGGTAGTTGAAGAGAGAACAACAGGACCTGTAAAATGTTCCATGTATTTAGATATGGTCACTCACATGAAGAAGTTGGTTTACTCATGATGCTGAAGGTAAAGGCAAAGTCTCCATAGTCCCAGAGGACCACATGAGGCTGCTCTTCCATTAGAGAGAGATGACAGGTGGTAATTTAACCTGAAGGTCACCACACCTAGGGTGAGGGAAGAGGTTGAGAACAAGAATCCTTCATGATAATCTCAGCCAGTGGGGGATTGAACCCATTCTGCATTGCAAACCAGCCATCCAACCAACTGAGCTAACCACTTGATGATGAAGACTACATCTTATTTCATTCCTCTTAAATATGACGGTCATGAGAAGCAAACATTAATCCCCCTCAAGTTGCAGGGCCTATTTGTTTGTCTGATTGGATGGGTGAAGTTGTAGCAAATAGGTTTTCTTTAACTCTGAGTTCTTTAGCATGGACTAATTGAAAATACTCCCCTTTCCTGAATACATCAGTCCAAAAATCAGCTGTGCAAGATGGAGACTTGCTCGGTTGCATATTTGTAATTGATCTGTAAATAGGTAACTGGATTGCCCTTGTGAAACTAATTCGGAAATATTCATTTGTTATAAAGTGGCATAAATAATAATTTACAAAAAGTATCAAGTCCAATTTCAATGGAATGAAAAGAAATTTTTTGAAACAAAATCACTGTGTCATTGAATATGTCTGTAGGAACTATATTCCCAACAGTCAGAGTGACCTTAGGTAGACTGGTGGTCTCCCTCTCCTTGGGCACACACCCAGTTCCAAGTGCTAATAATCCATTGTCTGCTAATTATGCTACTTTATATTAACTCCATTGCTGCAGAAGCTCTGCTCATTTGAGGAGAAAGGGTTTTGATTCTTGCTGTGAAACTTCAAGTGAAGCTTAATTTCAAACTGAAATTGTCACAAAGAAAACATTCAGAATTTTTTAAATGCAAAAGTAGCTAAATCACACCGATTTCCCTGGGTCAAGATAAAAATATTTCAGATGAGAACCATCCTCAGAACAGTCTAAATCAACAGTCTGTCAATTAAATGTCTTGGAGACATGTTGAATCTTAAAGGAGAACTTTG